GGCAGACCTCTGACAGGCTGTATGCCACAGGAAGTGAAATACTAACTTCCTGTGGAATTAACGAAATAACTTAAAGGCTATCTCATATAATTAAGTGGCTTCAAAGGCAAATTGGCACAAAACAAAAGTCAGTGAGGTAGTTTAACAGCATTTGAATAATTTGTTTCTTTGCTAAATATGGCAATGGCTACAGGAACTATAATTAAAAGTAAATAACAAATCATTATTACATCCATATGAATCCCGCTATGCATTATTGGTTCGGTTTTTGCCTTGGTTTTCAATAACACTAGACAGCAAAAAACACACCATTCCCCTTCACTGTGGTGTTTCTATCAACCCATAAAGACATGTATTGTATTATGTGAAACACTAGATGGAGCACTCTCTATACTATTAGAAATGACAGACACTAAACCACCTGTTTAAAAACAAAGCATATCCACTTTGTCCACAAGTCCACATTTCTGAGTGTGGTGCATTGTGTACACTGGTACCTACTTTTCTTTTAATAAACACTACTTTCACATGGATTTAAGAAGGTTTTGCAACCACATACTTCACATCTGGTGTATTCATCAACCATTCCTTTACTTCTTTGCTAAATGATGCTGTTTTTATAAAAGACTAGAGGACATTGTATCAGAGCCTGTTCTCAGCCAATGTTTTGTCTCAGTAGATGATTTTTTCCCCCTGCCCTGCTAAGACTTATCTAATCACCGTCAGCTGTGTGACTCGGCTGTGGCCTATTTAAGAAATCAGAGCCTGTGGCCGTTTCTCAATGTCGAGGAAGGCTGCTCCAGAGCCACTATTTCAAGCATGCTACGTAGGGGTGTAACGGTTCACATAGGCTACATTACGTACCTCGGTTTTTAGGTCATGGTTCGGTTCGGTACGTTTTCGGTACAGCAGAAAAAATTATCACAAAACATAAAATATTTCTTGTTTTTTTTTCATTATTATTAAACTGTGAATATTGTATTCACTCAAATAAATACAAAATATAATAAATAAACATTAAGGTGCAGCATTTCGATGAACTGAAATCATCTGTATTTGAACTAGTTCCTAAGCAGCCAGTTTGACATTAGGACTTGCTTGTCATTGTATTTTCATGTTTTTCTAAAGAAAGATTAACTTGTCCACATTGCTTGCTGAAAGGGCAGATCTGCTGGCACTAACAATGTCTCCTGCTGTGGAGAACACCCTCTCGCTAGGGACAGAGACAGCCAGGTAGCGCTTTGCTAACATGGCAACATAAGGATATTTGGTGTTTGTAATAGCTTTGGCTCGGTCTGAACTCTCTGCGAGTGGTGGAGGCTTAAATGCTAGTGGGAGTTGGGTTTGCACTTCAGTCTTTTTTCTTTTGGTATCGGTGATATTCACGTTCGGGTGATGCCTTTTCAAGAGTGTGCACGTTTGATATATTGCCAGCCGCGTAACCAATTTCAGTTGAACAATGCCGACAAACAGCTTTGGTTCGGTCCACCTGTCTTTGTCCGTTATCCTTGTTCGTAACTGCGAAACCAAAATGTTCCCAAACCGGAGACTTCAATGATGCTGGAGGATTTTCGAGCTCAACTTTATCTGCGTTCGCCATTTCGACAGTTCCTCAAATTACTGACTACATTTGAACGCATCCCTGTGACCAGCTCTCATGCCTCTCGTCCAATTAAATGACCTGCTCGCTCTATGACGCGTTGAACCCAATGTGAGCAAATTACTCTGAATGCTGCGACGCAGCACCTGAGATTACTTCCAAAAAGTTGTTCACGTTCTCAATTTTTTACGTTTAACGTTATATTCGTTCGGTACGCATGTGTACCAAACCGAAGGGCCCATACAGAATAATTTCGGTACAGGTACGTATACCGTTACACCCCTAATGCTACGTCATCGAGTGGCGCCGAAGGACTGTTTAAATCATGGATGTATAATAAGAACTGGATACAGCGTGGGAGGCGGGGCCTCATTCATTCCTATGAGAGCTGCTCATTAGCGCATGATGATAAAATGGCCCAACTTTTGAGAGAGTGAAACATCACAGATTACCCAGCATGCCTGAGAAGTACCCGTATGTGCACTCATAGAGCATGCGCAACTTTAACCAAAATGCTCGTTCACATCAAGCACGTCAATTTGCGTACACGTAACAGCACCACACGTTCATGACAGCATGGTAATGGATGTTGTTATCATGGATTTGATATGAACGAGGCGGCAGTTAGCAGCTAGCGGCTAGCTAGTAATGATGCTAATGTACACATCAATCGTTATGTACTTATATTACGCTGTAACAGGATCTAGTGATATCCAACAGAGCTTCATTTAGCATGAAATAATTATTGCACTGTATATATAGGCCTATATATATATATTTATATATAGCCTATTTATATACAGTGCAATAAGCTTCTTAGTGCAATACGAAGCTACAGGGACGTTAATAATGTCGGTAATATTAACTTTAATCAATACAACATTTACGGTACAAGATTTAATCATACAGCCCATGTAGTATGATAATGAATTACAGCAAACATGTGCAATATATCCACTATTACAGCTCCGTGGGATGGCAGTAAGACGATATGGGTCCGTTCTTATTGTGCATCCATGGGTAAAGGTAAACGCAACTCACATTGGTTTCTCATACAGCATCTCTGTAAACTACGTGTATTCACTGAATTTCACTCTCTGCCTTTAACGACTCGTTGTAGCTCCAATAGCTCCAGCCCCCACCCTCCCTTGTGAGCACAGTGTGCTCTGATTGGTCGGGATACGTAACATGAACGTGCCGGGCGGCACGGTCCCGTGGGTTAGATGCGCGTTCATAATGCAGAGGGAAATAACTCTCAGAATAACGTTATTAGCACATTTTTACAACTTGAGGAACGAATGTTTTTAATAAGGGCTATACAAACATTCATACTGGGTAGTTTATTTAGTTTACAAAAAAGTATCCAACGAGTTACAGACCACTCTTTCCCCATGTAAGTCAATGGGAAAAAGTGTTTCCGGGCCTGGCAACCAAACGGAAGTGTAGTACCGCCGTTTGGCCAGCACGAATATTTTCATCTGAGTCCGGCACAAATGCATGTCGAAAGCTGAAGTGTATAACATAAAAAGGCACACATACTGAAAGCCCAACCCCAGCAGGGGGGTCTGGGGGGATTCTCCCCAGGAGATTTGTTTTGAAATATTAACATATAAACTACGCATTCTGGTACACTCTGAGAAGAAAATAAATACATGTATTACTACCCGACATAATAATAATATTTTATGCCATTGTTTGTTTTTCACTTTGTTCTGACATCTTGCTGCGAGAAGAGCAAAGAGGAGATAGTCTGTGTGAATTACTTTAAATTGTGGGTAAGGGTAGATAGCCCCCATTGTTCTGTGACCTGTCAATCATCAAACCGGGGGTCATATTTCATTATGTGTTCATTTGTATCTGAAGTTGTACCCAGGGATGTATAAAGAGTAGTTCTACCGCAAAATTATTCTCCGTGGGGACTTCCGGCAACAATCTTGATTCTGATTGGCCAGAAGACTCGAAAAAACATCAGCAAAGATGTTGTATTGAGAAGATGATCACTACGTGACATACGTTTTCAAAACCGTTTATGGGCTCCGGTACTTCCAGTCCAACGCCTACAGCGTTAGAAAATCGGGCCTTCAAAATAAAAGTTTGACTCTTTTCCACCAAAAAAAAAAAAAGGAATATTTTCTTTTCTATTTTTTTTACCCACTTTTGGGTCGCGACCCAGCAGTTGAGAACCACTGATAGATGATGTGTTGACCCTTCACTCTTCTTCAAAACATCATCTAAATAAATAAATGCTTATAGAGTGTGAAGCGCTTTTCCCCCTTCCTATTTACTCCATGTTGAGCCTTTACGACCTCTTGCACTCAAGCTCTTACCACCAGATAAATCCCAGAGGGTTTTCAAGCTTTAGGGTTCAGAGGGGACTTTGGGATTTGGCAACTGTCTCACTGCAGCTTCTCTTTTTAATACTTTGTTAATACACCCTGTTTGCCTCATGTAAGTAACAATGTGAAAGGTATATGGTATGATGAACCATGTGACTACCATTGTTTTTATTTCCCGGTATCCTCTCCTTCTGCCTCCCACCAAGCAAGGATGGATTGGGGAATGATCAGGAGGGAGGTAGGGTTGGACTGTGTTTAGTTTATTGTTTGTCTGCACGGCAGCCTGGTTTCTCTCAGAGGGGACTCCTCATCCTCATGACCCAAAACAGACATTAGTGTGCACATGGTCAAATACAGATGTGATATTTTGGTAGTGTTACCTAAAAAAACGTCCAAGATACAAAAGCTCCTGCTCCCACCTGGATAAGTAGTGGCTGACCTCTTCATTTATATTCACTTTACAAACGTACACATAAGTGAGGGAAATCAACATAAACTGCTAGAAAAGCGTATCTAAGCATCCTGCATAGTCGTAATTGATGATTATAATTTGAAATATACACGTAGTTATGAATTCCTTTATTTGGTTCTTTGATGATTTTGGATGGAAATGCTGTAACACATTGATTTAAAATCTCTCATTTGATCTGTTTGAATGAAATGTGGAAACTGTGGAGACATATGGCATGAATAGCTAACGATAAACCAGCTAAATCAATGTATTTTATCGTATTGCTAATAGGTAACATAATTGAACATGGTCAAAATGCATTTGCCAACCAAAGCCTTATGTGTACCTTATACCCTGCATTTAAAATCTATAGTATAATACATTAATTATTTTCAATAATTCATTCAAGGTCTATTTTTGTAAATATTTGCTTTCTTTTTCTTTTGATTTCAAGCGTATAGGTGTTGCTCTTAAGTGTACTCAACACGTAGAACAAACCGTTTGTTTACAACCTGTATGAGAGGCAGATGTCCTCCATTTTACTCCACTTCCTGTCCTGCCCTCCTTCCTCCTCCTCCAACGTACCGACAACCATGAGACCAACCTGCCGTAAGTCTACAGACACTGCCAGCCTGTAAAACCAAACAAAAAATACAGTTTTTAGCATTTTAACGCAAGAGCAGAATTCCTGCTGTGTTTTTTAACGTAAACATATTTTTCCACTGATAAAGGCTCGGTTTTTCCCCCGGAAGATGTGTTCCCCGGTACCGGAGAGGTCTGCCGCTCAGCTGCTGAGCGCGGCGCTGCTGTTGCTCTGGCTCTCCGGTAAGAAACAAATGGATCTCTGATCAGCTGCGCTTGTCCCCTGATGGCTTTATGTTGACCCCCTCCCCCTTTATATCTCTAGTCACCCTCTGTAAACATATGTATGCCCCCGGTGCATCCACCCTTCAATAAGATGCAGCTGCCTTTATAAAATAAATATGGGCTCATTGTGTACATCATTGTGTACAGTGTGTGTGAGTCAGTGTGGGGACAGAAATAGGCCTATCATAAGGTGCCACCAATGTGCTGTTTATTGTATTCAGTAGCCCACATATACACTATGCAGGGTCCTTATTAATAGCTAGGTGGGTTTAAATGGAGCAGATTTCAGCATGATATCACATGGATCTGGATCATTTGCAGATCAAAAGCTATCAGATCAAAATGGGCTTCTACATTTGATCACACACAGCATCGTTACTCTGAGTGGGGATGCTCAGATTAAATGTAAAACCGGAGCAGATTAACAAACAGATCCATCCACCAATGTAAAGCCATGTTGTGGTGAGTATATATCAGCATTGAGTTGAACACTCTCCCCTCTTGCTGTTTACTGTGGTTGCAATGGTTGCCTGAGTGAAATGCTTTCCAGTGGTGAATGTAAAACTCACCAAACCCAGCAGGGAGGTGAGGTTAATGATACAGAGCACCATGATCTCTACAGAACTGATTATTCTGTTGTATTAGGAAGAGGGTTTGGAGAAATGTCTGGATGATTAGCCACTGGTTGCATGTTTATTTACACAATAACACAGTCACTGATGATAAGGTTTACCACAAAGATCTGGGGGGGGGGGGGGTTGCATTCAAAATCCTATTTTCATCCGATTTCATAGTGGCCTTGTCGCTTTAAAGAGGCCCTCTCGTGCTTTCGTGGTTTTCCCTTTCCTGTAGTGTGTTTTTTTGTGTGCATGTAAATGGTCTGTAGAGGCTAAAATCCCCCCCCCCCCCCTGCCTGAAACATCTCCATTGTACTCCTTTGTTTACGTCTGTTACATAGTGACATCCCTATGTAACAATGGGTGCGACAACCTAAAGAGTTTGACCAATCAAAACAAAGCGGACCAGCTAACCAATCAGAGCAGACTGGGCTCTGGTTTCAGACAGAGGGTGAAAAGAGGTGCTGCAGCACAAGCAGTATGAGAAAAATAAAGAGCTTTTTGAACATTAAAGCATGGAGACATGTCACAGTAGAGACACTACATACTAACATGAACCTGAATATGAAAAGAAACTGAAAATGTCTGACTGAAATGACGAACACAAAATACATAAATAATTGTTTTTTGTCTCACATTCATCAGTTCAGTGGTTTGTCTATTAAAAAGGAAAACACCCACCAGTGTATTTTTAGATGTTCTTACTGTAGCTTTTGCTTTTTCACTATGCCAACTGAAAATAGATACTCAAAGGTTGACTGTTGCATGGAGAGGCTGCTCCTCAACAGGATGTGGGCTCTGCTGAAGGCAACATGAAAGGTTACGACTTTAATTATGAATTACTCAGCTGGTTTATTGTCCAAATAAATATACATTGCAATACATCATATACAGGTCTATCACTTTGTGAACTAAAAAACGAAATATCGTAGTTTTTGCAAAACTTGCTGCCGGTTCCAGAAAACATTATTTCTGTCTAGTGTCAAATGCTGTCTAGAATACACTGTTTATAGTCCGCATACATCACTTCAAATCCAGTCCTCAATGATATATATTATTACAGAGTATTTACTGTGTTTTAATTATAGATCCTGCCATATCTTATTCTATTTTAAAAGAACATATTTGGCTTATTCCTGCAACAAAGTCAAACTATTTTGTCTGTTGCACTTTTTTGTTTATGTTTGTGTTATATATTTATTTGAAAAAATGCGTTTGAATATTTGAAACTGCACTCACAGTTCCTGAGGAGAGGCAGTAGAGGGCAGCAGCACCCTGAACATTAAAATACATTAAAAAAAACATCCACTGTTACTGCACTTGCATCAAGTGCCTGCGTCATGATGTGTAGAAGCATCAAATGACCACAAATCAGTTAATTAAACCAAATCCAAATCCATAATAAATCATAGATGATTACTGCAGCAGTGGCTTATTGATTGTGGCCGGAACACATTTCTGTAAATGGACAGAGGAAGCACTTGCACTGTGGCTAGTTAAGTGCCTGCCTATTAAACAGGAAATCCATTCCAGCAGAGCCTACACATAAATAAATAAATAAATAATAAGACTTTCTGATTAAGAGATTGAAATTAAACAAGTACAATTACTCAATTATTTGTAGTACATTTTTGACATTTATGATTGAATTGAGTATTTCCATTCAATGCTAATCTATGCTTCCACTTTATACTCATACTTGTAATGGAGTGTTTTAAGGCCATTGTATTTTTACTTTTACGTAAGTAAAGGATCTGATTCCTTCTTCCAACACTGCTTTTTTAACGTGTTTCAGAAGTGTTAGGAAATGTGCCCTATTCTACCTTTTTTTTCTTAATACAAATTGTCTTTGGCTGGTTGTGAATTGCCTAGTTAGCCCCTTTTAGTTATAATAAACAGCATATTTAGATTTTACAATTCAGGTTTTTGTTTTTATTTGAGTGTTTTGCTTAATTTTTTACCCGTTTATTTTATTTATTTTTGTTTATTCCCTTATCTAGAACACTAGAACCTAAAGTATTGGGGAACATAACAAATGACACCTTTGTAAATATTCATTCTGTTTCTGAACAATATATTTTTTCAGTAAACATTGCAACATATACAACAATAGTTGTATGAGACATGGTTTGATGCAGTTATGATGACAGCATAGATTTGGATAATAATGTATGTAATTTAGACCAAGTGTAATTGTATCCTTAAAACATTTTGCATTATATAAACACATATTAAGTAAACATATGTTTCTGAAGATACTCAAATAGAGTCGCAAAACATTTACAAACAGACATGTTATTTCACAATGCCTTTAATATATTTAATTTACATAACTTAACAGTAAGCCTTTAATTTACCTTATGTTCTTTTACTTTTACTGTATTCAACTCTCGTGCTGCTTTGTAAGACCTAGATTGGCCTTGCAACACAGAATCATTAGATTTGTAAATGTTTCCTTCACAGTATAAACATCAAATATCAAAACAAACTTCCGAGATAACATTTGAAAGGGTAGGAAAGCTGCCGATGTTTATTTTCAAAACGTCAAGATGCATCTTCAGATTCCTGTCTAGAAGCTGCACATTTGGTCAAAAGTCCACTGAAATATAACACATTTAAAACATGTTACACTACCCAGTAACTGTGTGTCTGTGTAGTTTCTGCGATTCTATCTGGATGTTGTTTGAGTTCTTCTTAACGGTTTCAGCATACTGTGTATTAAAGCAGCCATACTTTGCATTTCTTTCACAAGTAGACAGGACGGTCAATAATGCATAACAGTGAAAGGGTGCAGGGGAGAGGAAGACAGGAAATGGGCCACAAGAGTGTGGGCTTGTGCAATCACTCTGCCTGCAGCACTGCAGTGAGAAAAGGTCAATACACTGGATAATACGTCCCTGTCTGTGCCGATAATACAGTAAGACACAAAGATGCTGCAGGCTATTTTTTGTATTACTTTTAAAGGGTTCTGGGACTGATTGCTTTTATCTAATCAGAGAAACGCTTCTGCATCCTTTCCTGCAACTCCTTCAGGAGTAACTGACAGATGTTGTATTTTTGCTGTGAGTTGTATCGACTGACTGCTCCCTTTTGGCCCCTGGGTGCTGCAGTGTGACCTTCTACACAGCAGGGGGCGCTAAGGACAAGCCCTGCAGTAAAGAACACAAATAAATAAAACAGCTATTATGCAATACCCACATTTTCATGGATTTTATACACAACAATTTGTCCCCTCAAACCTGTCTGAAAATGAGCGGATCAGATTGTGGCTACTTTGTGATGTCACAATGTTTGTTGGTTGTTCAACCATTATCCAATAACCAACTAAGGTAAAGGTAAGGTCACGCCCACCTTATCACCCGAATCTCCTCCTAGAGCACCAGACACCTCCTCCAGACATGAGTTAGTACCATGATTCACTTTTACACCAATGTCCCTCTGTTGTTGGGATATGAAAATAATCAGAACACTTCATAAGAAACGTCCATTATAGGATCAAATAAAATAAAATACAATTTTATAATATGCTCCAACGAAAAATACATGTACAATGTGTATATTGCAATTTACTGCTGGGTTATCTGGAACATTAAAGCCTTTTGTTCCTCTATTATAAGGAGGTGCATGTGAGGCCCTGCCCCTATAAGAAGCCCTCGGATAAGACAAAGACACCCAACCTGTTCAACAATATGAAGGACGCCATATTGAAGCCCTCTATAGAGAGTTAACTCCTTTAAAGAGTGGCCAGTTGATAACCCTAAAGTGTCAACACACACAGGACCTCCTCTCATACATCCAACCATCGTCAACACTAAATACACTGAGTGGTGATTCTGTTATGGACAACTCAGTCTTAGTGGTGGAGGAAGTATTCAGATCCATTACCTATAGTAGAAGTACTAAAACCTAACTGTAAAATACTCCATTTCAAGTAAAAGTATAGCTTCAGGTATCTTGTTCTCAATACAAATGGAAACATTGTGTGGTCTTTAGGATGTGCTTGTTTAAAGAGATTTCTACTCCAAAAGCAACATATAGTAAATGGCAGCTCCTTAAATGTATCAGCACTTATTGTTTTATCCACAAGGCAGTCATTTCCCTTAAAACTGTTATTTCCTTACCAATATACACTTCTGCTTTAAATTGTATTATGTGCATATATACGGTGAAACGTATAAAAAGGTGTTCACATAGAGTTGGATGAGAGGAATTGGGGGCACACAGGACAGGTGATGTAACAGACACACCATCTTACATTCTGCATTGACCTTGGGAGAGCAGTGGATGAAAATAGAAGGGGAGTGGGAGAGAGAATGCATTTGAAAAGTGAAAATAGGGAGTCCTTTTGGAGTGTAGCTGTGGGGTAAGACATGAGAGGCATGGACATGGATGGAAGAGGAAGGAAGGAAGGAAGGAAGGAGGGGCAGAGGGAAGGAGGGAGGGAGGCAGGGAGGGAGGCTGCTCCACTGCAGCATTTCATATGTTAGCAAGTCTCTGCATCTACCTCCTTCTCACTATCGACAGGACTGCTGAGTCAGCATCAGCCTGCATCTAACTCACTGTGAATGGGATGTAGTAACAGCGCCACAAATACAGAGCTCGTGTGTGTGTGTGTGTGTGTGTGTGTGTGTGTGTGACAGTGATGGGTGTGTGTCCTTGAATGTATTAGCTGTGTGTGTACAGATAGGTCAGAATGCTGTGCGACATTGACATAGCACAGCTAGTATGCTAAGCTCACAGCTGACAAAGCACGAGTTGGAAGCAGTGCGTATGCAATTTTGTGTGTTTTTGTGTGAGAGCAAGAAGCATTAGGGAGCAGGTGCTGCGCTGCATTACAAGACACCTGACTGTGCGCATGGAAAATGGTGCGTGTGTAAATTATACATACAGACGCTGGGTGGAAATGTAGAGTGTGTGTGTGTGTGTGTGTGTGTGTGTGTGTGTGTGTGTGTGTGTGTGTGTGTGTGTGGTGTGTGTGTGTGTGTGTGTGTGTGTGTGTGTGTGTGTGTGTGTGTGTGTGTGTGTGTGTGTGTGTGTGTGTGGTGCAAAGAGGCAAGCCTGTGGAGTGGTGCAGCAGCAGTGGGAAGAGAGCCAGAAACACCCGACTGCAGAGGAAATAATGGTGCAGAGTCCCATCACACACGCACACACATTCAGAAACACACAGATACACATACACACACACACTGAGAGAGAGGCACGGATTCTGTCTGAGGAGTGTAAATCCATGCTGAGACGTGATGTTAGAAGGGAGGAGGAACTTGAGGAAATCAAACTGTTTAAAACTGACTTAGTGGAGCAGTATAAGCTCGGTCTAAAATATAAGACTATAGTCTACAGCTTAAACTGTACGAGTAGCATTATCATGAGATGGAAAAAAAGGCTTTTGTCTCTTTCAACTTTCCTAGAATATGCCCTACCCTTCTTCTTTTTTAAGTTAATAATCAGTATGTACGCTAAACTAATTCACTTTGTGGCAATCAGATGCAAGAACCCCTTATTCTCCATGAAACAGCAGATCAACGTTGACAGGAAGGTCAATAAAAGGAAGGTTAAAAAAATATCTTTGTATACCATATTGTTTAGAACAGGAGTGTCAAACTCAAGAGCTTGCAAAGAATATAATATAGATATGATTGGTGTAATTGTTGAATATGTTATTTCAATTACTTGTCCTAGACTTCTGCTTTCAGACGTAGTTATTTATGAAGTTATTACCATAACTAATAATAATCCAATGCAGAGCCAATAATGTAAAATAAAACATTATTTTATATATTTATATATGTATATTTATATAGTCTTAAAGTTACAACCGGCCCTTTGAGTGCAACCATAATGCTAATGTGGCCCGCGATGACATTTGACACCCCTGGTTTAGAATAAGTTGTCCAAATCCCAGATGTATTATTGTTGTTACTGTACATCATTAACTCTGATTTTGTTGCTTCCCTTCACAGGTTGTTCAAGCATGGACGTCCTCATGCCCCAAAACATTAACGCACTGAATGGAACGACAGTGAAAATCCCCTGCACATTCACCTCCTGCTATAAGATGGATGTTGGCAAGTTTCTCATGAACTGGACCTACCAAGAAACACTAAATGATACAGAGGACATGGTGGGTACATTAGGATGAGTACTTCTTAATAGTCTACATCAGGGGTGCCCACACTTTTTCAGCTTGTGAGCTACTTTTAAAATGACCAAGTCAAACTGATCACCTACATTACAAATGCTAAACATATATTTATTTATTTATATACTGAGTATACCTTATGTTGGTGTACCTTGCATAACTGCATGAACCCGTATGGCACAATACAACTCAGTACATTTCTGGTCATTACGTACATTGTATACCCTTTCTTTAGTAGAATTGTATACATTGGAAGGCTAACTAGGTAATCAGCTCGCCGGTGATTTGCAGCTGGCGCGGTTGACGGCGCATACGTGGTGAACTGCGTGTTAGAAAAGATGAGATCTCAGACTGGCTTACCTGTACGTCAATCAAGTGGAAAATGCCATAGTAAGGATGGATGATAGGCTAACTTTATTTTTATTTTTTTCAAAGCCATGCGATCTACCCACACTACCTTTGTGATCGACGTATCGGGCACTCCTGGTCTAAATAGATAGACAGACAGACAGACTGACAGACAGACAGACAGACAGACAGACAGACAGACAGACAGACAGACAGACAGACAGACAGACAGACAGACAGACAGACAGACAGACAGACAGACAGACAGACAGACAGACAGACAGACAGACAGACAGACAGACAGACGGACGGATAAATAGACGGATAGAGAGACGGATAGACATATAGATGGATAGACAGACAGACAGATAGATAGATAGATAGACAGATAGATGGATAGATAGATAGATAGATAGATAGATAGACAGGTAGAGAGAGATATAGATAGATAGATAGATAGATAGACAGGTAGAGAGATAGATAGATAGATAGATAGATAGATAGATAGATAGATAGATAGATAGATAGATAGGTAGATAGGTAGATAGATTTATAGATAGATAGCAGAGGTGTGGACTCGAGTCACATGACTTGGACTCGAGTCAGACTCGAGTCACACATTTTATGACTTGAGACTCGACTTGACAACATCACAAAAGACTTGCGACTCGACTTGGACTTGAACACCAATGACTCGGGACTTGACTTGGACTTGAGCCTTCTGACTTGAGGTGACTTGATACTTTAATTCAGAGGTCTCCAACACGCCGATCGCGAGCTGCCGCTAGAAGAGAAGACTCCCGTCGGGGAAAGCAGAATCTTCAGCCGCTCCTACTCTTGCTGAGAATCCTTGCAGGCAGGGGCGGGTCTTTATTTAGCTGGGCCACCATGCGGCCAATCATATGCAAGGACACACTAGGTCATACCATTATGTGAAAGAAGGGTGGGGGGCACAGCATGTGTAGTGGTACAGGCCAGCTGCACAGAGCGACGGGGAGACTGGGAGCCGGATTTAAATGCAAGCGCTTCGGAAAAAGTCAAGAAATGAGTGAAAACCGAAAAAAGAAGCAGCATCTGGCTGCTTGTCAATGATATTGGAGAAAGCAAAGCTGAGTGCAGGATTTGTAAAATGAAAATAACCTTCAGAGCAGGGTTTTGTTTTGGTAACCACTCAGGATTTATTGTCAGAGGTGGGAGAAGTTCAGACAATTTAAAAAAAGTTACAATCAGGGTTCCCGCGGGGGCTTAACAAGTCTTAAAAAGTCTTAAATTTGATAATCAGAATTTAAGGCCTTAAAAAGGTCTTAAATATGATTCAGAAGGTCTTAAAAATTATCGGATTTGAAAGGTACTTCTGCGTTGCGATAGCGTCTAAATGTGTTTTGGGGAAAATGTCCGGGCTGCAATTAACCAGTGCGGTAATAGCCTTTCAGTTCCCCCCAACAATTTGTATTGAATTAAATCAACATGGAACCAGTAATAACTAACTTTGTTTCCCCCGGCCCCTTATTGGAGAACACCCAGCTAGTAACCTATCAACCAAGCTTCAGCTCATGTAGCCTATCTTCGAATCTACTTACAAATAAATATGGGGAAGTGTAAGTTCAACCGTATTTGGTTGGAAAACATCTAATTTAGTGCTTGGTTGAAACCAGTGGAGGGAACGTGTTTGAAGCCCGCTGCATCTTTTGCAAAAGAAATTAGTGTTTGTTTTGCTAATGTAGCGTTAGCTAGTGCAGCAGCAGCTAATGTAGCGTTAGCTAGTGCAGCAGCAGCTCCCGCAACAACACCGGGGGACCTCCGGGCGAAGTTTGGGTCTACGTCAACCCTAAAAGCGGAGGTGCTGTAGACGCTAAATACCGTAGCTAAACACCAATCATACAACAGCAACGATGAAAGATTGTAGCCAAGGCAGCAGAGCTCTGAATATAGCTCTTGTCACTCTCTCACAACACACACACACACACACACACACACACACACACACACACACACACACACACACACACACACACACACACACACACACACACACACCCACACACACACCACACACACACCACACACACACACACCACTAGGGCTGCTCGATTATGGCAATAATCAAGATTATGTTGGTCAATAATTAATATCACGATTATTAAATATGATTATTCATTGACTTTGAAAACATCCATTTATTGAACTTTAAAACAAATAATAATTTGAACAGTATCTTTTTAACTGTTGATTACCCTGAACGTATAATTCCACTGAAAAACCAATACAAAAATTAATTAAATAAATGATACATTACTAAAAAATTAATTAGATCAAATATGTTGTAGTGCACTGTCACAACCTAGCAAAGCAAAATAATCGTTTTTTCCGATTATGTTGTTTTCGTAATTGTGGCAGGCCAAAATCGTAATTGCGATTAAAATATGATTAATTGCACAGCCCTAACACACACACACACACACACACACACACACACACACTTTTTGTCTAACACGCTAACACAGTTCTGTACTGTTATGCTGTTGTGTTCAGTCATTGTTCTTATGTTGAACATGAATACATTTACTTTGTAAGTGATTATGGGACGTATTTCTTCTTTATATACATTTTCCTTCATACTTTATTGCTGTGAAATAGGTCTTAAATTCTATTCAAAGTGGTCTTAAAAAGGTGTTAAAAAGTCTTAAATTTGAGTTAGCGAAACCTGCAGGAACCCTGTACAATAAAAAGTCCTGCATTCAAAATGTTACAAGTAAAAGTACAAAAGTATTAGCATCAAAATATACTTAAAGTACCACCTGCAGAGGGATCTAGATTCAGGTGTTCTTTTCCCCGCCTCGCTGCACATTATCCCTTGCATAAAGATAGATCGTGGGTCCCTTATAACATGTTGTACACAGTGGAAATAAACATTCTGGTTACCTCAACATCAGGGATCTTATACATTAAACTCCTTCTGAATCAAACCGTCACGGTAGCCTTACCTTACTGATCCCTCTTAAATTAGAAAAACACACGTTACTTTACCAGCAGAGAGAAAATGGATTATTAAATTATTAATGTGACTAATAAAGAGCAATTTGATTATTAAGTATTATTCTGTTGATCGATGTCATTACATTTGGTGAAAAACACATAATGACTTGTTTATGACTCGTTTTGTCAAAGTTTAGGACTTGGACTTGACTTGAACTTGACCATCCTGACTTGAGACTTGACTTGGACTTGCAAAACAATGACTTGAGACTTGACTCGGACTTGAGCGCAAAGACTTGAGACTTGACTCGGACTTGAGCGCAAAGACTTGAGACTTGACTCGGACTTGCAAAACAATGACTTGGTCCCACCTCTGATAGATAGATAGATAGATAGATAGGTAGAGAGATAGACAGACAGACAGACGGACGGACGGACGGACGGACGGACGGACGGACGGACGGACGGACGGACGGACGGACGGACGGACGGACGGACGGACAGACGGACAGACGGACAGACGGACAGACAGACGGACAGACAGACGGATAGATAGACGGATAGAGAGATGGATAGATAATATAGATAGACAGGTAGAGAGATAGATAGATAGATAGATAGACAGGTAGAGAGATAGATGTTTATGTTTATGTTTATTAAGGATCCCCATTAGCTTTTGGTCTCGACAAAAGCTACTCTTCCTGGGGTCCGACACTTACAACAATAATATAACAATAATACAGAAACATTTAGGACACAAGTCCTGACATCATTAATAACATTAACAACATTAAAAACATCACCAATATCATCAACAACATGCGATCAAATTAAATTAGGGTTCACAGCTCACAAGGGTACATGATCATTAGTAGATGGCCCTTCAATCTCTTCTTGAAAGAGGCTCTGGACTCTATTTCAGCAAGGTAGTTTGGCAATGAGTTCCATTCCCTTATAGCTCTATAAGACACAGAGGATTTCAGAAGATGTGTCCTGGGTTTAGGTGCCAGTAGATGGCCTGATGTAGCTTGTCTAGTCTTATGGTCATGCTCGTCTCTTGTGTAAACTATTTGATCATAAAAATACAGTGGTTTTTTGCTAAATTGGAAATTTTTTAGAAAAGTGATAACACGAGATTGCAGACGTTTCTCAACTGGAAGCCATGATAGGCTTATATGCATAACTCCAATATGAGTGCGCTTCGAACAGTGGAGAGCTAGTCTGGCAGCCTTGTTTTGAGCTATTTGTAATTTCTGTAAATGTGTTTTTGCTGCTGATGACCATATGACCGGACAGTACTCTAGATGTGACAAAACCAGAGACTGAATGACTTGTTTCAAAGTGGTTGGTGTTACATACTTTGTACATTTTCTCGCCACAGCTATGCTCCTTCCCATTTTAGTTACGATACTGTCAATTTGCTTTGTCCACCGTAAACCAGAATCAAGAACAATGCCAAGCAACTTAGTCTCGTTGACCTGTTCCACTGGCTGACCAGCCAGCGTCAGGCTTAATTGAGGATTGCTGCTTAACATGTGTCTGGATCCGAACACCATTGCTTTTGTTTTTGCAATGTTGAGTACCAGTTTGTTATTGTTGACCCAGTCTGCTATGGCTTTAATCTCTATTTTAAGTAGATAGTTTAACTCACTGCATGTTGATGCTGTACTGTACATCGTGGAATCATCAGCATACATTATTACACTGGACTTATTTAATACGTAATGAAGGTCATTTGTGAATATAGAGTACAACAAAGGCCCAAGCGAACTCCCCTGTGGGACCCCACACTGCAACACCTTACTTTCAGAAAAGCTCCCATTGAAAAACACTCGCGGCCTTCTCCTAGTCAGGTAGCTCTCCATCCAACACATAGCAACAGAATCAAAGCCATAGCATTTGAGTTTGTTCAGCAGCAGGCTATGATCGATTACATCGAAAGCTGCGCTAAAGTCTAACATCACAGCTCCTACAAGCCTCCTATCATCCATGCTCTTTAACCAGTCGTCGGTCATTTGTGCAAGTGCTGTACTTGTAGAGTGACCATCTCTATAGGCATGTTGGTAGTTCGTTGTCAGATTGTTACTTCAAAAGTAGTATTGAATTTGGGTGTATACCATTTTTTCTATTAATTGACTTAACACTGGGAGGAGACTTATAGGTCGACTATTGGAACCAGCAAAGGTTTTTCTTTTATCCTCGGGTAATGGGATGACCTTGGCTTCCTTCCAGATCTCGGGGCACACGCCTTGCTCTAAACTTTTATTAAAAATGTGACTCAATGGCTTGGATATGTAGATAGATAGATAGACAGGTAGAGAGATATATATATATATAGATATATAGATAGACAGGTAAATAGATAGATAGATAGATACTTTATTCATCCCAAATTGGGAAATGAATGTGTTAGCTATTGTGCAAATTGTTCTGGGTTATGGAAGAGGAGACACTGACCCTAACCCTAAGCGCATTAAATAAAAAAATACTTGATAAGAAATTATTCCTTCTGATCAATGAAATGTCCTTCTGTACTGCTCTAACCTGTGGCTATCTTCTTGCTTTATAATTAGGGCTGTCAGTCGATTACAATAGTTAATCGCGATTAATCGCAAATTAATCGCACTTTTTTTATCTGTTCTAAATGTACCTTAGAGGAATATTTTTCAAGTTTTTAATACTCTTATCAACATATGAGTGGACAAATATGCTTTATGCTAATGGTTATTATCATTTGAACAATGACAAATATTCTCATGAATATTAAACACAACAACCTCAACATTACAAATATTCGCCTCAATTCAACCTGGAACCTCTCTCATACAATAATACAATACAAATGGTGTGTGTGTGTGTGTGTGTGTGTGTGTGTGTGTGTGTGTGTGTGTGTGTGTGTGTGTGTGTGTGTGTGTGTGTGTGTGTGTGTGTGTGTGTGTGTGTGTGTGTGTGTGTGTGTGTGTGTGTGTGTGTGTGTGTGTGTGTGTGTGTGTGTGTGTGTGTGTGTGTGTGTGTGTGTGTGTGTGTGTGTGTGTGTGTGTGTGTGTGTGTGTGTGTGTGTGTGTGTGTGTGTGTGATGGATCGTTGGAGCTATGTGCAACTCAAAGCATATGCTCGAACGGGAGCTGCCTGGACGCTGCAATCATGTTGCGCACTATCCGTGCTGAGTGTGCTGACTTTTCGTACAATGTCCCACTGTCTGGCTTCCTGCATAAAGTCAAGTGCTCGGCGCAGTTGTGACGAAATGTCGCTCCTCTGTTTTCATTTAAACAGCTCCATATCCGTTAGCGCAGCTAGCTAGCACCAGATGCTAACAACAATAATGCACGTTGTTGCTCGCTCGCTCGGGCCACACATACACACACCCTCTCGGTCCTCCCAACAGCCAGTCGGTGCCTGCCGGTGAGCGTGGAAGTGTGGTCTGCCACAAGCGGGCGGCAGGAGCGGGGCTGTCAGCATTAGCTTGTAGATGGTATTTTAAACTCGATGCGCTCTGAAACTACGGGGCGGCCGAGGACAAAAAATACACATGCGTTAATCGCGTTAAAATAATTAGTGGCGTTAATTTTTTTTTGCGTTAACGCGTTATTAACGCGTTAACTTGACAGCCCTATTTATAATATGTCTGTTTGGTTTTACAGACGAAAAAAAGATTATTGCCTAAATCTGGCTATTGTTCACTGTCCCTGTTAAATGGTGGCTGAGAGGTGCAAACGGCCAAAAACACTTCCATTTGAATAATTGCCTGTCAAATAAACTAATAAATCACTTTCTCCCTCTCTCTTTTTACAGTTCATGACATTCATCAAGAAGAAAGGAATGGTGCCTCAGCGATCGTACCAGTTTGGAGACAGGGTCATGTTTGTGGGGAACCTGGATAAGAACGACCTGTCAATCACCCTGTCAGAAGTGCAGATCGAGGATGAGGGGCTTTACAACTGCTACGTGAGAAACCCGCCCGACCGCATCCAGGGACATGGCACCATACGTCTCCATGTTGTTAGCGAACGTAAGACGATAACCCTTATGAAAATACTACTGTCTATAAATCTTAAAGAAACAGTGCCTGATTGTGTTCTTCATTAATGACGCTGTACGTTATCCCGCTTGTTGACCAATCAGCATTGAGTATTCAACTAAGCTGTGTAATAAGTGGAAGCTAGATATTGCTGTTATGCTGCGCGATTACACGTAAAGTCAATGCAGAGACGCGGACGGATGCGAATTCGCTCCGACGGCTAGCATGAAGCGGTGGACGCGGCGCGAATCACGCGATTGAGGCGATTGAACTGTGCCACGTCAAACGCGAGAGTTCAATTTTTTCAACTCGAGCGTCAAATTCACGTGACGCGTTCTCGCGGAAGCCAATCAGCGGTGAGGATCTCAGCCTGCCGTCACTGACGTTCAACCAGAAAACATCAGCCATTAGCTGTTAGCAGTTAGCAGTTAGCACACAGAGATCACAGCTCCTCATATCTGTTCAGAAACTGTACAGAAGTTAAACAAGAACAAACCACAGACTGTCTGTGTCATGGCGAATACAGTCGCTGGTTTATTTATGTCTGTAGGCCGTTGTTATGAGTGTGGAGTGAGCAGATACAACGTTAGCTTAGCCTGGTCGACCCAATCTCCATTCAGAAAACAAGCATTTTAAAAGGTTTTTCGCCTGCCGTCTTGTCTGCAGACTTGTCAAGCATTAATTCATGGTTTTTACTAACCGGTATCAGTATGTTGTTACGTCGGCATCATTTAGAAACGTGTATTACAATTTAATCACGGTAAAATATGTTCATTTTGTTGTAGTTAGCTCCCGAGCCAGCGCGTCTTGTTTGAATGATGCGAGTAAACACAGCTGGCAGCCACGGTGAAACTCGAGTGATTAGAGCGAAGCAAATATTATCATCGCGTCCGGTGTGAACGCACCATTAGACTAGAGTGATGCGATAGGAGCGTTTAGAGCGAAGCGAATATTCGCATCGCGTCCGGTGTGAACGTAGCATAAGAGATATTTCTTATGTAATTCAGGCTGGAGCCACACGAGGACGATAACACAAACGGACCGCAATCGTTATCAAAGAAATATTCCGTCCACACGCAATAGGCACCAGAAACGTGTCCGTTCACATGAGACCGCTCGAAAGCACTGGAGACACTGTAGTACATATGCCAGGCCTGTAAGTGGCGCTGTAGTCCTGCCACAAAAGCAGCGAAGAAGACTTCCTGCGCATGGTTGCCCTTTTGTTTATTCTCCGCTGTGGTCACTCTGGCTCTTTTTCTCCCTCCCCGAGGCAAGCGTTTGCTCCTGCTGTAATTCCCTCCGGTAGTCCCCCAGCAGATGACAAACACCCACCTCCCCGCCTCTTCCAAGGGACGAGGGAACCGTGCAGCAGAGTTTCAGTTAGATTTGTTTTCACCGGTCAACATGTCCGTTAAAGTTTAAATCTAGGTCTTCTTTGTTATTTATTGAGCTTTAAAACAAATTGATAACGACTCTATATAATAATATAAGAATACTAAACGGAGCCTCTCTTTTCCTCCCCCTCTTCTGAGAGCCCAGCAGCTGATCTCTGAGCAGGAGAGGCGGGGCTATTGCTTCAACGTTATCAGGAAATGATCGTATAGTCGTAAACGCGGAGCCGTTTGCCCCAAGCCCCCAGGAAGTGCGCCGGACTCAGATGAAAATATTCGTGCTGGCCAAACGGCGGTACTACACTTCCGTTTGGTTGCCAGGCCCAGAAACACTTTTTCCCATTGACTTACATGGAGAAAGAGTGGTCTGTAACTCATTGGATAATTTTTTTAAACTAAATAAACTACCCAGTATGAACACTTGTATAGCCCTTATTAAAAACATTCGTTCCTCAAGTTGTAATAATGTGCTAATAACGTTATTCTGAGAGTTATTTCCCTCTGCATTATGAACGCGCATCTAACCCATGGGACCGCGCCGCCCGGCACGTTCATGTTACGTGTCCCGACCAATCAGAGCACACTGTGCTCACAGGGAGGGTGGGGGCTGGAGCTATTGGAGCTACAACGAGTCGTTAAAGGCAGAGAGTGAAATTCAGTGAATACACGTAGTTTACAGAGATGCTGTTTGAGTTGCGCATGCTCTATGAGCGCACATACGGGTACTTCTCAGGCATGCCGGGTAATCTGTGACGTTTCGCTCTCTCAAAAGTTGGGCCATTTTATCATCATGCGCTAATGAGCAACTCTCATAGGAATGAATGAGGCCCCGCCTCCCACGCTGTATCCAGTTCTTATTATACATCCATGGTTTGCCCCCCCCCAGAGCGTTTCATTTGCAGATCTACCCACCTTGGGACCCGTTATCGTTATCATTTTCTGCGTTTCCATGTCGGCCTCGTATGGCCGAACCGTCTATCTGATAGTGAACTGTAGCAGACAGTGGCGTTTTCTCCCGGAGGCCAAGGGAAGCCAGGCTTCCCCTGTTTTTTCGGATTGTAGTTATAATTTAAATAAATAAAAACACTTTGTTTTGTTTCGATAATTCTCCTTTGTTGTGTGTTGCTGCCGGCCCGTCTCTCCCCCATTCTCATTGAGTATTTTACAAAGAGTGAAACGAACAGCGCCCCTCTAGATGTTATGGTTATGATGGGACGGGTGGCGCAGTGGTCTGTGCATCCGATCATCAGATCAAGGGGGAGTGCTGGGGAACTCCAGTTCGAAACCCGCTCCTGCCGCCACTGCGTCAGGCCGTTGTGTCCTTGGGCAAGACACTTCACCCAGATTTGCTACTGTGGGTATTGTCCACAGTACATGTATGATACCAATGTGTACTTGTAAAAGCGCCTCGATGACCTCGAGGCGTGAAGATGGACGGTATGACGCAGTGCGCTGTGCAATGATCATCAGATCAAGGGGTGAAACCCGCCGCTGCTGCGTCTGTAAAGCCGGTGTGTCCTTGGGCAAGACACTTCACCTGAACTTGCTCCTGTGGGTATTGTCCACAGTATCTGACCATTGCATGTATGATATATGTGTAATGTGTGTATATGTAAAGCGCTTTGAGTCATTGAAAAAGCGCTATAATAAATGTAAGGAATTATTATGGTGAAACAGTAGATTGCACTCACTGTTGTGAGAGGAGGCCAGCCGAATCTGGCTTCCTTTGGTGAAAAAAATTGAGGGATTGACCAATCAGATGAGGCTCACGTGATGCCCCTGCCAACCTGTGATTGGTCAGGGCCATGCCAAGGGAAGCCAGCCGCCTCTTGCTTCCCTTCAGAGGCGGCTGGCGGCTGCCGATTTGATTGGACACTGCCATCCAATCAAATCACATCAACATCAGTTTTAATGCTGTCATCACCGCCGTTAGAAATTATCAAGCAAATGAAGCATTATGGAGGGTGGAGATTTGGCGTACTTAATCAAACATAACTTTACTAAACTTCCGCTACAGCAGCAACTAAAAATTAAATCAGATGACAGGCCAATGCCCGCACTCGAGCTGTGTGTACACAGAGGAAAAAGGGAGAGAATCGGACGTTCAATGAGGACATTTATGTCCGCACGGAGTGGCTAACTGGAAGCGCTAAACTTTAGCGTCTATTTTGCTGGCCATGTCTTCTTTTTGACAAGGATTCGTGCTCCCTGAACAATCCTTGGGCAACTTCAGGATTCATCGACCTTGCCAACCTGTCACGGGCAATTGAGAGGCACGGTAAATCCAAAAATCACATCGATTGTGTGATTGTCTGCATACATTAATAAGTAAAATGCTTACATTAATAAGGAGAGAGTTTTAGCTGGAGAGTGCGTGCGGACCTTTCGGTTAGATAACAGGCGTGTGCAAGTCCTGCATCTGTGTAATACAAATGTGTGTAAAATGATACCGGGCGCTGTAATCACTCATCTGGTTACGTTATTGACCACACCCCCCCCCCCCCCCCCCCCGCCCAAAAAATGGGCTTCCCCTACATTTTCCCCCACGCCACGCTACTGGTAGCAGATACGACCGTTATCGTCCTCGTGTGGCCTGGGCTTAAGTCTTTATCAAACAAGGACATTGCATACAAATGAATTAATCTAAAACAAATAGGAGATGGTTCATGCCAGATTTAGCTATTAGTTAATTTAATCTGCAGTCCGCAGTCACACACATAATCAATCATAACTTCAGAGCTGCAAGAGCATGAAATAGCATCATACATTATTTTACAAATTGTTTCTATAAAAAAGCAAACTTTGAATACACAATTTCAGGTAACAAACACTGACAATTATTATCATTATCCGGCATGTTTGGCCCTTACCTCATTTCAAGCTGCAGCTGTTTGTTTTTCTGTCAACAGAGCGGCACTACCAGCTTCCTTGTGAGCTAATAGCAGAAGTGGCTCATGAATTATTTTGATGGTTGCGCAAAAATCAGGCTAAACAAAATCCATATGTAGGTTTGTGTTTGTTTTCGCTCTTGCAAGCTATAAACAGACTAAATACATTGCAATAATATGACAAGAAATGCGAAAGCGTTAAGAATACTGTTAAAAATCTAACCCAGGATCTGGACTTATTTATGACTGATATTTGGTGCACTGAGCTTTCTTTGTCATTGTTTTTTCAAACAGTAATCTTATACAGTATAACATATTGTGTGTGAGTGTGTTTGTTTGTGAGAAAGTGTGTGTTTCCTGGAGCACGAGGACCTACTGGTGATGAGTCAGCTTTTTACTTATTTAAGACAAACAAGAGGTTTAACTTAGACCCTCAGCATTTCTTGCACACGCACACACATATACACACACACGTCACACACACACACACACACACACACACACACACACACACACACACACACACACACACACACACACACACACACACACACACACCACACACACACACACACACACAAGGCTCACTCAGCAGCACTTACTTTCCACTCTGTTTAATCAGTGCTTTTAGCCAGTATTGCACTTGTCTCAGTTCGATGTCTACAAACTATTTAACCCTCTCCTCTCCACAGTTCCTCCTCCCAGAGATTCCACCATCGCAGTGGCGATCGGGGCGTCAGTGGGTGGAGCTTTAGCGCTACTGATCCTCTCCATGGTGGTAGTGAAATGTCTCCGTCGACACCGGAAACAGGAACTGATTTCAGAGGAGAAGATGGAGGAGGAGGGAAAGCTGGATGCTGAAGGTGTTGCGGAGGAGGGAACTAAGTAAGAAATCTCATTATCTTGTCCTCAAGCAGAAACTACCAATAGCACAAAGATTAAGAAGGACCTGGTATAGCAGTAGGCTACATGTTCTGTTTTCTGAAGCTGCTCGGGCACATATCTCTCCTCTGCAGCAGTATTTCCAATTTTAACTAGCGAACAAATTCCCTAGGATATGCCATTGCCATAATATTATTCCATATATACTAGTTCAAGCTATTTTACATTGTCACAAAAAAAACACCCCTTGCGTTTAACAATAAAAAGAGAAAGAAAATTATGCTTGGTATAATTTCAAACATGAATTGCCAGTAGCATTTTGCACATTTGACAGTAGTAATGTGCTGACCATCACATTTGTTATACAGGTATAACAGCTCAGACGTAAAGTTAGCCACACATAAAGTAGGCCTACTTTTCCTTCAATATAACTCCTTGGCTTCTCTAACTGAATCACACATCTTCTCAAAGCTAACCTGTTGTCGGGCATCTCTTCACTTTTATCTTTAGACAACCATAGCGGGTCCTCTGATTGGATCCCTCACCCCAACACCCCTCAGGTAAACACCTGCTTATCAACCAATCTGGACCAAGCCCCCAGGAAGTGCGCCGGAGTCTGATGAGAATATTCGTGCTGGTCAAACGGCGGTACTACACTTCCTTTAGGTTGCTGGGCCCGGAAACACTTTTTCCCATTGACTTACATTGGGAAAGAGTGGTCTGTAACTCGTTGGATAATTTTTTTTAAACTAAATAAACTACCCAGTATGAACGTTTGTATAGCCCTTATTAAAAACATTCGTTCCTCAAGTTGTAAAAATGTGCTAATAACGTTATTCTGAGAGTTATTTCCCTCGGCATTATGAACGCGCATCTAACCCACGGGACCACGCCGCCCGGCACGTTCATGTTACGTGTTCAGTGGTTCAGTACTACATGAGTTTCTCTTTACCCATGGATAACAACGGACCATATCGCCTTACTGCCAGCCCACGGAGCTGTAATAATGGATATATTGCACATGTTTGCTATAATTCATCATTTGTAAAATATTATACTACATGGGCTGTATGATGTAAATCTTGTACCGTAAATGTTGTATTAAATAAAGTTAATATTACCGACGTAGATTAACGTTCCTGTAGCTTCTTATTGCACTTGCAATTGTTTTAGTTACTTTTGGGCTACTTAACATGAATAATCACAGTTACTATCCTTTTACTCCATCACATTTCAAAAAGAAATAGGCTATTGTTATTTTAACTCCACCACAGTAATCCATCATCAGCTTTACTTTTTAGATACAGTTTTAACTCACAATTGATCATAACAGGCTTCAACATATACATTTTTATATATTACCAAGTGGTTTCATGTACAACCCACACAAGTATCATGCTAAATGAAGCTCTGTTGCTTGGATATCACTAGATCCTGATGTCAGCGTAATATAAAAGTACATAACGATTGATGTGTAACTTAGCATAATTTACTAGCTAGCCGCTAGCTGCTAACTGCCGCCTCGTTAATATAAATCCAGTACCATGCTGTCATGAACGCGCGGTGCTGTTACGTGTACGCAAATTCACGTGCTTAATGTGAACGAGCCTTTTGGGCGGTGTGGTTAAAGTTGCGCATGCTCTATGAGCGCACATACGGGTACTTCTCAGGCATGCCGGGTAATCTGTGACGTTTCGCTCTCTCAAAAGTTGGGCCATTTTGTCCAAGCCCCCAGGAAGTGCGCCGGACTCAGATGAAAATATTCGTGGTGGCCAAACGGCGGTACTGCACATCCGTTTGGTTGCCAGGCCCGGAAACACTTTTTCCCATTGACTTACATGGGGAAAGAGTGGTCTGTAAATCGTTGGATAATTTTTTTTAAACTAAATAAACTACCCAGTATGAACACTTGTATAGCCCTTATTAAAAACATTCGTTCCTCAAGTTGTAAAAATGTGCTAATAACGTTATTCTGAGAATTATTTCCCTCGGCATTATGAACGCGCATCTAACCCACGGGACCGCGCCCCCCTGCACGTTCATGTTACGTGTACTGTTCAGCACTACATGCGTTTATCTTTACCCATGGATGCACAATAACAACGGACCATATCGCCTTACTGCCAGCCCACGGAGCTGTAATAATGGATATATTGCACATGTTTGCTGTAATTCATCATTTGTAAAATAGTATACTACATGGGCTGTATGATTAAATCTTGTACCGTAAATGTTGTATTAAATAAAGTTAATATTACCGACGTTAGATTAACGTCCCTGTAGCTCCTTATTGCACTAATAATTATTTCATGCTAAATGAAGCTCTGTTGCTTGGATATCACTAGATCCTGTTACAACGTAATGTAATAAGTACATAACGATTGATGTGCACATTAGCATCATTACTAGCTAGCTGCTAACTGCCGCTAACAACAATCCATTACCATGCTGTCATGAACGCGCGGTGCTGTTACGTGTACGCAAATTGACGTGCTTGATATGAACGAGCATTTTGGTTAAAGTTGCGCATGCGCCATGAGCGCACATACGGGTACTTCTCAGGCATGCCGGGTAATCTGTGACGTTTCACTCTCTCAAAAGTTGGGCCATTTTATCATCATGAGCTAATGAGCAACTCTCATAGGAATGAATGCCTCCCACGCTGTATCCAGTTCTTATTATACATCCATGATCTGGACTCGTGTTGTTTATCATCAGCACCATGTGTGCTAGAGAAGATGCCTAGGTCAGTATGGGGAGAAATAGGAAATACAGCAAAGTTAAAAATCAAAGTAACCGCCAAACTAAACAGACAGGACACTGCCATGTAAGCATGTTAATTACAATATAAATTACAGCCACAGTGATGCTGTAATGGAAACATTAATAACCTGGGTTTTATTAAACAATGTATTGGAATATATTGGAAGCAGTCATTAAAAGTACTTTTACTCAGGGACTTTACTTAAGCACATTTTGGAGATACTTGTACTTGAGTATTTCCATTGTATGCTACTTCATACTTCTTTTTTATTTATAATATGAATTACAATTGGGACGGACTTGAAAAATGACTTAATAGTATAGTAGCTCCACATTTACTGGCTGCAATTAATTAATGGATCACTTATTATAATGTAGTGATAAAATATATGATTCCGAAAATGTTATAAAGAGTACTTTAGGCTTTGGTACGTTAAGTATATTTGGATGCTATTGTACTTTAACTTAAGTAAATCTTTGAATGCCAGACATGCACTTCTAACAGAGTATTTCTACACTGTGGTATTTTTACTTTTACTTAAGTGAAAGATCTGATTCCCCCTTCCTGCTGTGATTTCTCTCAGAAGACCACTGTGGATGTGCAGTGTCCCTAAAAGTGGTACAAACAAGTGTATATATATGTATTTGTGCAAGTGCATGTGTTTCTTTGTGTGTTTTGCCATAGATCTCACTACCGGCTGACATTATCTCCAGAGAATCATTTGCACATCTTCCAAGAATATTGCTAGCTTAGATAAAGAAAATGTTAATATTCCCTTCCTCTCTTTTCTTTCAGACATCTCCCTGAAGATCTATAGTTACCACAGCTCAAATCATCTTCCAACGACACTTCCATCCCTTCTGTGTGTGTGTGTGTGTGTGTGTGTGTGTGTGTGTGTGTGTGTGTGTGTGTGTGTGTGTGTGTGTGTGTGTGTGTGTGTGTGTGTGTGTGTGTGTGTGTGTGTGTGTGTGTGTGTGTGTGTGGCCTAGCATTACTATACTTGTGGGGACCTAAATCTGTTTACATAGTCACGTGTGGGGACTCGCCTCCCTTATGGGGACAAAATGGAGGTCCCCCTGAGGGGAATCATTAATTTTAGGGTGAAGACTTGGTTAGGTTTAGGGTTAGGGTTAGGGTTAGGGTAAGGGTTAGGGTTAGGCATGTGGTGGTTATGGTTAAGGTTAGGATAAGTCTCCAGGAAATGCATGTAAGTCAATGCAATGTCCCCTGAAGTGATGTATACATGGTATATGTGTGTGTGTGTGTTTACTGAATGTGTCTTTGTGTGCGGGCATATTTATATATGTCTGTGTGAGATGTTTTTCGTTTTTTTGTTGAAATTAAGACAGGGAACACTTATTACAACCTAAACACTTAAAACGTTATCCATAGCCGCGAGTCAATATCAGTAGCATTGGAAGTGTATTTGATTCCCTATTTCATAGGGAATGGCCTTTTTATCGTACACTAGGCCAGGGCTGGGCAGTATGACCTGAAAATAAATAGTTTTAAAGGGCCCATGTCATGCTTTTCTGGTTATTACCCGTCTCCTTGTGTGTTATGTAGCTTTTTCTGCATGTAAACGGTCTGCAGAGTCACAAACCCTCAAAGTACACCCTGTAGCGAGTAAAACTCTAACACAGAAAATACCTGTCTATGCTGCCCCAGAACGCCTCGTTGGGGATTTCTCTTTTTCCATTGTTTACTTCTTGGGTATGGTGACGTATTTCGGGTATAGTGACATAACGTAACGTCCGCGGAGCCGTTACGTTTGGACCAATCTGCAGACTTCCTCACACACACACACACACACACACTTGACGGGACGTTGCGAGGCTCGCTGCTGCGAGGAGCGGGACAGTGTGAGCTGGCTCACTGGTGTGGGGTCGGCGAGACAGCGAGACACCGCGGAACTCAGCCTGGGCACACACACAAACTCCCAGCCAGGCTGCGGGTGTGTGTGTGTTTCGGGCTATGTTTCGCTGTGTCTCGCTGTCTCGCAGACGACCACTGGGCTCACAGGGAGGGGGGAGGCAGGAGCTCCAACAAGCCCCGTTTAGGACAGAGAGTGAATACACATACTATACAGAGATGCTGTATGAGAAACCAATGTGAGTTTGGAAAATTGCACAATATAAATGTATTTTAGTAGACCTCAACAATGGAATTGTGATCAGTAGAAATGGCCATGACATGGGTCCTTTAATGTTGACAATATCAAATTGAAAAAAACGTGTGTTTGGGATCAATGAAAGTGAATGATCGTTGACTACAATGTAGTCAACTACATGACAACATTTTTGAAGATCCAAGATATATCAAACAGAATTTAAAGTGAAAAACTCACATCGCACCCACAATCACAAAATCTATGTTGGTTACAGTTAACAAGTAACCAAAACCACCCATAGCACACACAGAAGAGTTTCTGCCATTTACAGAAAGTACTACAGGAAATACCAAATGATCCAAGTTTAAATATAAAATGTTTACGTTCAGGACTAACTAAGAGCTTACAGTGTGCTGTTCTGCCATGCATGTCAAACAGTGCATATCTATAATAAAACTATAATAAGAAAGTAAGACACTTATAGTCTGTTAAGTTTCCCAGAAAAGCACAGCAATGCCAGTTAAACCATATATAAGCTCGATATAACCGTAAGGTGGCGCCTTGTATCAAATATGATATGATTTTATTTACATTTTTGATATACAGTAAATATTGTACTTGCATATTTGACTTTTTAGCTCCTGGAAAGATATGAAAAAACATCAACTTCCAGTGATTTTTATTATTAAAAAAATAAAGAATTGATATGTATTTTTATTCTAACTGCAACTTGAATCCAACTGGAGCCCTGTTTTATAGAGATAAAAAAAACTGAGCAATTGCACCTCAATACAAACAAGTTTTAGAGAGTATTTTAAAGCAGATTAATATATTACATTACATTGCATTTAGCTGACGCTTTTATCCAAAGCGACTTACAATAAGTGCGTTCGACCAAGAAGATACAAACTTGAAGAAAACAGAATCATAAAGTACATCAGGTTTCATAGAGCCAATATATAACAAAATAATTTAAAAACCTACATCCTAGCTCTGTCTCCAAAGTACTGCCTTTGCCTCAAACGTGAGGGGGTGAAACTGTATATTGTTTTGCACAGTTACCACATTTTTACTAATTCTAATCATAATGGAGAGCATGCACCTTTAAGGAAAACACATAGCTCACTCTGTGAAGACGGTGATGTATCTGAATGTGGGCTGTTGTAGTAAAAACATGGCATGGTGATTGTATGGTGAAATTGGGAAATGTATTGTATTTATTTGATCATTTATTTGGTTGGAGCACCCTACATGTTAAAAAATAATGATGAGATCACTATTTGATGTCCACTTTTACATGTTGCAGCATGTGATCTCTCTTAATATCTGAATGTCTATGATGTTTTTGTCAAATCTGGTGGCCTGGCCAGTCCTCCTTTATTACAACGTTTAAAAAACAACAGGTCTGTGTTTAGGCCTTTCACTTCATGATGGTATTTTTTTACGTTTTGTTATTTATTTTATAAATTGTAGGTGATGTACAGTTGATCAATATGATCATTTTACGGTGGCCGACAGGGGCAAATGCGTTACAACGGCCCAAACTGTTCCATTAGGAGAAATGGAAGAAGGTTGATTTACATGTGTTTTGGCACATTTGTGTTTTTATATTTGCATACTTTTTTAACCCTTAGATGCACGAGTGACTGGACCCTACACTCTTCCATAAGTGGGTCAAAAAGGACCCGTATTAGAATAATATGTGTTTTTATGCCATTTTTGTCATTTTGGTTAAGAAAAAATCACTTGTATAATATTTAGTATTATATTTTGGTTCACACTAGAAATATTTTATATTTAATTTTTCACTATTATATATTTTTGAATTTTTTTTGAATTAAAAAAAAAAAAACGAAATTCCATAGAAAATGCATGCGGGTCATTTTTGACCCACTTATGGAAGCTTGGGGTATAATACAAAAACTACAATTTCTTAAAATGTATACAATTTAAATAAAAAATTTGAATCCAAAACATGTTTTTTGAGGAATAGCTGGAATACGAAATGATACAAAAATGTAATTACAAAGATACTCTAAGACACCTCACCGGGTCAAAAAAGACCCACTTATGCATCTAAGGGTTAAAGTGACACGCATTTCTCCTAATGGGAGTGTTATGGGCCGTTGTAGCACGTTTGCACCTGTCGGCCACCGTATAATTTAGCACTATCATGCTGTGAGGAACAATGAATTAAATGGTGATTTATTGATGAAGATAGTTGGCAAAATGCACAAAACTGCAGAGTTATGATGTTGGAGAGCCCTATATGTCAACACCACTGCCTGTGTGTGATCATGCATGTTCAAGTTGCATGGTATTAGGGTATGACAGGTTAACATTTTGGTGAACTTTAGTGCAACTTTAAAACCAGGGAGGGGTTGTTGGCAATATGAAGTGGTCTCCATTACTGTGTATACTGTATTTCTCATGCAGATACAATTAAACGGACAAAAACGGTATCATGTGCTGGACAGATTTATCATTGTGCATCACTGTTTACCATCTTGAGTTTGCCCTGGATAGTTGCTGTCATATCACTTTACATGTTAGTGAACACCAAACTAATGCTTGCTGCCTACGAGCAGCTGTCATCACATTATGTATTTTAAATAAAGAGGATTTAGGAAAATGACAGTTCTTTGTACTTTCTTTGTGTCTCTATACCTGCTTATTCAAGCTAGCTGAAGAAGCATTATTTTAGCAATTTCACAGTTTAAAAAATCCGGAAATGCAATTTACCACTTCCATTTCCAATCGTCTTGAAGTCATCAGTTTTTTTAATGTGTTTGGAATCCTTAAATATGGTCTGTGGTTAACGCAAGCTGAAGAGATTTGAATGTTTCGTTCTAAAACCTAAAATACATCAATAAATAACCCACTGGTGATTTTCCGAAGCCTCTATTTGTGTCATAAAAACGGCGATTGCTAACATGTGTCTAAATGGAATACTAAACGTCATCATGCGGAACATTAGCCACCTTTAGCTTAGCGGTGGTGATATGAAGTTATGTGACCGTTGGCTTCTGCTTCTGCATTTATGCTTCAAAAATCACAAAATGATGTTAATATGGAGATTATCCTGCTGAAGTATGATAAATGGTGATTGCCACAGAGCTTATTTTCTGTAATATACGAAAACCTTGTTGAGGGAACCCTTGCTATGCTACTCCATGCAACTTTCTTGTTGACCAACAAAAATACTTAATCACTGCACCACATTAATAAACTAGCATGTCTTTACACTGTGAGAGAAAATCAAAAGCCAAGGCTACAGTACGCGACAAAGACGTGGGGATACATGAAATCCATACAGAAAGGCCCCAGCAAGTCTAAAGCAAGGAGCCAGATTCAAACCTTAACAGAGTATCAGAGTTTAGACGTCTCGTTATCTTTGACACTACGACAGCTCAGGTGTTTTATCTGTTAACGCAGTCTGAAACCCAGGAAGCAGAGTCTGGAGCTGCTTCACTGAGAATCAGCCCGAGGTGACTTTGTGAGGGCGGACTATCTATTTTCCAGATTTTGCTGACTAACAGGGATTCCTTTTGCCTCTGCAATATAGCCCAGGGCAACAAAAAGTCCTGTGTGTGCAGTGCACGAGTAATTAATCCATGAGTTTGAAGGCTGAAACCAAAACAGCGTAGCACAGTTTATAATACCAATAAACAGGAATCTTCAAATTGGAAGGATCACATTTATTTTCCCAATTATTGCATCAATTCCTTTGCATTTAGGTTACAAAGCAATCTACCAGCTGTTCCTTTGCACGCACCTGATTGGCTTTTGCAGCACCGTTCCGATAATGCATTGCGGTAGCGGTTGTGCCAAGTTCAACGTTTTTCCCGATGACCGTGCATTT